GCAGGTAGCTTTAGAGTTCTCAAGATCAAGTGTAAATCCACGGAATTCAGATTGTGCCTAAGATTTCTTTTACTTCTTGCTTTCCTCACTGAGCTCTGTTGTCTTAATCAATCATTGACACCACACACATGATCAATCTTTGATGACAGTCATTGTCACCACACGATCTCTTCTCATTGAAAAAACCAATGAGACCTCTCCCAGGTGATTGGTGTTTTCAGCAAGAAGAGATCCTGTGGTGTCAGTGGCATTAAAGCGATCTTGGGACACCAAAGCACCTAGTTCATCTGCTTCCTCTGTAGGATGAATACTCCAGGCAGGAGTTTGGGTGAGAGGAGTCTTGTGTGAGGCTGAGAGAAACTGTGTACTAAAGAAATTAATTTGAGGAGGAAGAGATCTCAGAGCATAAGGGAAGACTTGACTCTAATGGGCTGAAATTTTACATAAGGACAATAAAAAGAGAAAAAGAACCCAGAGCTTATTGCAATGGCATCTCTGGAAAAGCAGAAGCAGGGGGAGCAGGGGGAGCAGGGGGAGCAAGAGTCAGGTGCAGATTTAATGTCAGTGAGTGTTCGAGGGCTTGTCACAATGGCATGGCAGTCCACCTCCCTTCCAACACCTCTGGGTGACAGGTGTGCAAAATGTGATTAGGGGAAGCTGTGTTTGAGGGTGTTGTGAGCCCATGTGAGTGACTGAAGGAGAGGAGATCTTAATATGGCTCTCAAGAAAGTGGTCACGGGGAACAATTGAGAGTCAGGAAGTTCCACTCTGCATGAGGAGCAGAGCCATAATGTTGCCCAGGAAATTAGTGAGAAGGCAACAGGTTGTGGTCACTACCCAATATGAAGGAGAGTTCACAGATTGATGAATTCCTTAGAGGAAACCTGAGTGGTCCCATGGAGGTCAGGTTTAGAACCCTTGAAGTGGTGCCTGGGTCAGTATGGGATATCGTGTGTTAGCTATTCGCAGGGAGGCAAGGTTTTATTTGCTCACATTGTTAAGTCTCTTCTGTGCTTTACTAACTTCCTTGGCAAAGTGTAATTTTAGAAAACTAATGGCAGTTCTCTTCCCCAGACTCCAAGGGAAAACATTGTCATCCTCCACCTTCAGCCAGCCATTAATGGGGAACAAATGCATTTTGACATAAGGGGACAAAATTGCATTCCTTGGATTTCATTTAATCTTGGTACACTTTCTTTCTTTCTCCTTCAAGCTGTCTGCTTTCATGTTATTAGTTGGCTTTGTAAAATACCAGGTGGGAGAAGATCCAGGCATGTGAAATGTCACGACTTCAGCCAAGCTTGACAGTTTCCCCCGGAACCTTGTGAGAAATGAAATATGTCTAGGGAGGGTTCTGGACACATTCTAAACTTCTTCCAATATTGGACAGCAGCAGATGCTAGTATTAGGTGAGCCTTATCCAGGAGAGAATTTTTCAGAATAATTACTAAAATGATATCAGTTAATATTCATTGAGCACTTACAACATGACAGCACTTTTTCAAAGCAGATTGCATGTACTGACTCATTTAATTCTCACTGTGACCCTGTGAGGTGCATGCTGTTATCTGCATCTTACTTATGAGGAAGTGAAAGAATGGAGCTTTCTGATTGACCAGTGATTACAAGAACTTCACTTCAAATCCAGCCAATCTGATTTGGAGTCAAGTTCTTAATCGATTTGTGGTATTGCCTCATTTATCTATGGTTTACAGCAGGTGAAGAAAAATCCAAAGGGGTTTCCATCACAGACTTTACGGTCCAAAGCCCTAAAATGTGTTGTCAGGGCTCAACTGTGGCAAAGTTTGATAGGAAGCAAAACATTAGTTGACTTACAATATGGGGTTTAAGAAAGTTGCTAGTGGTGGGAAAACTGGATGTGTAAGTTGTTGAGAGAAGATGGGAGATTGGGTGGGTGAGGATATTATGTGGTGGCCAGTCTGTCTGGCTTAGCTGGTCATTCTGGAGATGAAGTGAAATAGTGCATGGATTAATTTTGCATCTACAAAGTTCTATTCAAATGATAGCTCCTATTGTCTGTCCATGGTGTGACCCCTGGAAGTCAGGAACTTTGGTGGGAACCCAGTGATTCAGGAAGAAGCACTGTTTAGGTTGGCATCAAAGGGCATCAATGAGAACCTGGGAGATGGACAAGGAGCAGACACTGATGGATTTTGAAAAAAGTGGTACAATTGGTGAGCTCAACAGGGGAGCTCATGATGTGGGGAGCAGGGACTGGCTCCTTCTCTGAATTCTTTTTCCTACTTGGTATCTGGGCTATAATAAGGTCCTAGTTTTGGTGCCTCCTTCCCACTGAAGAAGACTAGAGCTCTCTGCCATTAGGTCCACTGTTATCTCAAAAGAAGGTTAAGGAGAGCTCATTCAACTCCTGCACCCCCAGACCCCATTACAGGATATGAAGGACCATCATGTTTCATGGTTCTACCTTTCTTCTTAACTGTTATGTTCATAGCAAAGTATTTGCTAATTGCAACCTTTATAGATCACTTAGGTGAACCTGTAAATTAAAGAAAGATTAGACCCCCTTAATTTGGGGATAAGTGTTTGGTATTACCATCATGTGGTCATCTATTAAATGCTTAAATTCTTTCCTAACTTTGTACAGCTAATTCTCTTTGCTGTAATCCTTATTTTTACTCTTATCCAGAGTTATCATTTATTTACAAATTGACATACTTTTCAAATGACATGTTATTTCACTAAATATGATGATCCTCAATGCAAAATAATCCCCAAGTCCCACCACATAGAGATAACCACTTGGAACATCTTGTTGAAGATTGCTCCAAACACTTCTCTTACATATACAGACTCCTAAATTCTATAATTTGCATGCAGGAGCTTATGCTGTGTATAATTTCCCAGGACTCTTTTTTCACTTTGCAATATGTTATGGGCAGACTTTCTTCTAAACTCATTTCCCTTCCACACATCTATAATATCTGCCTTATGCTCTCTTATTATAATTACTGTGGGTACTTAGCCATCCCCTTGTCTATTGTTTATTGATGAAAAAGAGTCTTAGAACCAACAGAGATCTTCAGACTCTGCTAGCTCAGATGTTAAGGCTTTGCTGTCACATCCATAGGTTTTTTGGTATCTAACCATTGACTTGGAGCTCCTCAGAGGAGCACTGGGTAGTAGAGAGAGCATGAAGCTGACATGTGGGGAGAAGAAGTCCCTGTTCCAAGCTCTGTCACTTAGCAACTATGTGACCTTAAAATCACTTTACCTTTCTGAACCTCAGTTTGCTGATCTGTAAAATGATATGGGGATGCTTAATGCTTGAGGTCAATGCTACTAAATACTATTCTGTCAAACTAGATCTCTCATCACCTCTTAAATGCTCATGTGAGCTTTATTCCTTAGACCTCTTCAGTGTCCATTGCAAGGTCGATACAAAGTTGTGAATGATGGACTGATGCAGCCACTGAATCCATCATCTCAGCCTTCCCCCAGGACTGCCCAACTCTGAGGTTTCATATTGATTTTAACCCAGCGAATCTCAGGCCTTTTAACCTGCCTGCTGTCTCACTTTAGAAGGTGCAGTTATATCTACATTTTAAAACGTCTTAAGTGTGTGAGTGTGAAAGATAGGGAGAGAGCTATATGTGAATATGTGAATATACATACATATATTCTACCTCTATATCTATGTATATCTAGATATGTATATTATTTTTATATTAGTACAATTGAAATCTAGGAAGGAATTTCTATTATTTGCCCTGAAATGAGATTTTTAGATAAGAGAATGAGATTAATTTTTTTTTCACTCCCTCTTCCAGAGTTGCAGTGAGATTAAATGGGTATGGGTTCATGGGTCTCTGTGTCTTTGAGGTGGGTCAAGAGCAGTGTCCTGAGGTCTAAAGCGGCTTCTTCCTTCCAGCCATTGTTTTCATTCCTTCCCTCCCTCCTTCCCATCCTTCAATTCTTCCATTTTCCTTCCTTCCTTCCCTTTCTTCTCTTATTTGCCTTCCTTTTCTTCCCCTATAGAAGTGAATTGAAGAGTAATGCTATTCTCTCTAGTTTGGTCAGTGGTGACTTTTATCACTGTTTCATATAAAAATGAGCAGCAATCCTCTTTGCTCAACTGCTGAAATATAAATATGAGGTGGTCTCTGCGGACAAGCCAGGACTGTGTTATATTCATGTGTTAAAGAAACCTGTAGATCCACAGGGGAGGTAACAAAAACTAAGCTATTTCACTCAACTTGTGCCTGATATGAAACTTCTTTGAAAATGTCATTTAAGAAAACATCCAAGAAATCTAGTTACCAACTTTCTGAGGGTGAACAGGAAGCTACAGGAAGTTTGGTGCTGTCCCCTTTGTTGAATATGTGTCCTGAACCAGCTTGGGTTAAATGCCTTCCAGATGAATTACATACTTCATTCTCTGCCTAATGAAACAATGAAAGTACACTATACCTATCGACTTTTTATTTGGGGAAGCTCAGAGGTACCTTCATAGGCAGTGCTCACTGTAACATGCTCTAAGTGACAGGTGTTTTCAGAGATGACTCCATCGAGGAGAGCTATTTCAATTGTAGTTCTGTGCTTTCTGGATTCTCATTCTGTCCTTTTTATTGGTTTTTCTCTCTCTTCCGAGGGTCAGGCCACCACTGACCAGGTTCGACTACTGTGGACCTTTCATTTTTCATAGTAACACCCTGCTTCTATTTCCAATTAGCCACGTCTAATTTGTTATGTAACAAAACACATTTTTCCTTAACATTTTGATAAATTAATATCAAATATTATATAAAGTGGTCTCCAAAGGGCTTTTTTTCTGCTGGTTTTTATGTTATTAGCTAAATTGCAGGAATGTTAGGTTCTGGTAAACAACTTGCAATTCTCGGTTGAATGTGAACTTTTTCTTCTAAGCCAGAAGAGACGACCTTGTCCCTAGTCCCTCCAGGTGCATGACTCCCAGTTCTTCTCTCTCGTTTGTATCTGACCACTCGGTTCTTGTTTTGCAGTCCCCAGTCTGTCCCAGATCGCCTGAGGATCCGGGTGAACAAAATCAGTTTACAAGACTATGAAGGATTCCACTACGACAAAGAGAAACTTCGGGAAGCTTGTAAGTTGCTGGTGCTTGTAGGTTTCCTAAGATCAGCTTGTCTTCAGCTTCTTGACCCTCTTTGGTTTGATGGGCAGAGTCACTAGACCATGGCTAGGGAAGCACAGTAACATGCAAACTCCAAATGATGATCTGTGGGCCGGAGAGAACAGAACTGGGAAGGGAAAGCATTAGAGTCCAATCACTCAGCTCCCGGAGCAAGGTCAGGAGCTCCCAGCTCGTTCACCACTGTCAGTCCCAGCATTGCCCGCAGTGAGGGAAGCAGAAAGCAGGTAAGACCATGGCAGAGGAACACCTACAAACCCTCGAGGCAACACGGTTCTCTCTCTGGGGCCTGCATTATCAAATACTTCCCTCATTCTTACACAAGGGTGGCAAAGTTAGCCATGAAGGCACATCCATCATTTTTAGTTACCATCCTCTGGTGTGATGTCAAAGAACATCTCACAGGATGCAGAATGCTTTGTCGATAGAGTAACTCACGGAGGATAAGGTGCCATGGTTTCTGAAGTCTCAAATTGAGTCAACATATGAATTCTCCATGTATATATGTTCTGTATACTTCATTGAACACATAGCTCATTGTCAATTTCCCTCATCAATCAGTATTTATAGGACACTTTTTACATTCTGGTCACTATCTTACAATTCTGAAATTCTGAACTCCTTCTTAATTGTGGAGGCCAATAGTCAAGCTTAGTAAGATCAAGGATGGTAATGAAGATCAGTGTCTAGGTGAACAGACAAGGATGCCACCAAAAAGAAAGGAGTTTTATGGGGCCAGGATTGTGGCTCAGTGGTAGAGCACTTGCCTAGCATGCATGAGGCACTGGTTTCCCCAGCACCACATAAAAATGAAAACAAATAAAATAAAGGTATTGTGTCCATCAACAACTAAAAAAAAAATTTAAAAAGGAATTTTATAGAGAATTAAAGATAATTAACCAAATCCCAATTGGTGTCCCAATGTGGACTGACCAGAAGTGTAGAAGAGGAACTAGTTAAAATGGGAAGGAGTGGAGTAGGAGAAGCATTCCTGGGTTAGTGACTTCCGTGTTCTGATTTCTGGCTCTGATCTGGAGAGAGTGGTAGTGGATGGAAATCCTGAGATCCAAGGACAGTCTCAGGTGGATGCAAGCTCTTCTACAATCCTGGGTTGGCAGTGAGCAAGGACCCTTTTCCCTGGTGGCCTCGTTATAGAATCTGCTAGAGAGTTCTCCGTGAAATCTCTACTTTCTCAATTCTCTCTACTGCTTCAGCTTCCTCAACCCTTTTGGGTGTTTCCCTGAAACATCTGGACCTTTATTTTCTTCTCAGCTCTCACTTCTACCATTCTCTCCCACTGCTTTGGTAGGAAAGTGGGAGCTGAAGTGGGGGTAGTTTTCTGCAACTCTGCATTTCTTCCTTTTGTTAACATCATCTTACATTTTCTAATGTAAAGAGATTATAAATAACAGACCTGCACCGGAAACCAACAGAATCCATTGAGTGATATATATATATATATATATTTGCAATGGGAGGTATAGCTACAACGTAAATTAAATTGATTTTTAGAAGCTTCTAGTTATAAAGAACACTGTTTTATGCTCTTTCTTATTCCAAACTTCTAAATGAATAGTTTGCAATTTTTGAAAATAATAAAAAAAATAATGGATCTCTAGTAATATTTTGTAACTTACAGTCAGTTCTCAGTTGGGAGTGGGGATACACTTGAATATTTTGGGCCAAAATGAAATTTGAAGCTTATCTATGGTTTCAGGGATCTGTCCTATCTTTCCTGTGGCGTTATCTGTCCACTGTTGCCAGAGGCAATTGTGATTTGAGTTTTTTCCAGGAAGATGACACTTCCTGGCAAGAGCTTTACTCATCATATGTTATCAAACTTCTATGTGAGAAAACTTCTTAAATTGGGAGAAGGAACTTGGCATTAATATAGGTCAATGAAATCAGCAGAGTCTTTGGAACCCAAAAGGGCAAGTAAACTCCCAAAGTGGGCACTAAAGGAATTATTCTAAAGACCTGAGTTTTAAGAAACAGAAGGAGTGAGTCCTCTTCGTTCTTTCATTTATTCAGGCACACACAGAGGTGATTACCATCACCATGTACTAGATTCTTGCTAGGGTGTCTGAAGGGCTGTTCATATCATTCATATTACAAGTTGGGATGTTTGCTGGGATGTTCATGGTCTAACTAAGCCTTCCTTTTGTCTGCAGTACAGAGTGATAAAACAAAATAGCAGCCGCTTTAGTTGCTCTGCTTATTTTAGCATAGAGAAAGATGACTAGACCATTTCAAATACTTCCCATTTCCCTACCATTTAGCTCCAGCTCACCTGGGGACATTCCCCCTAAACTGGCAGCATGGACAGGTTGTGTCCTTCACAGTTCCTCCCTCAGCTCTTGTTGATAAAATTTAGACTTACTTAAAACACCTGGAGTCTCCCTCACTGGTTATAAAGCTTCAGGTTGATGGTTATGATTTGTAAGAGGGGAAAGTCTATTCAACTGAAGAGGTAGAATGTATAGAGAAAGTGGCCATGTTAAATTGATTAAATTGATTTTTAGAAGCTTCTAGTTATAAAGAACACTGTTTTATGCTCTTTCTTATTCCAAACTTCTAAATGAATAGTTTTCAATTTTTGAAAATGATAAAAAATAATGGATCTTTAGTAATATTTTGCAACTTACATTGAGTGATAGACATATATATTTGCAATGGGAGGTATTAAAATCTTAAGCAAATCTATAATAATGACAGCAGAAAATCACTACTGTCATCTGAATGAAGTACATAAATGTATCATTAATAAAGCATGTAACCATAGAGTCTAGGCAAAAAATAATCAGTTTTTGAAAATCCATTTTATTTCTGTCTTCAAGAGAGATTAATTGGCATGACATATATTTTTATATCTAGAATAACTTGACACTGGCCAAAATTTAACACTATCCTGTGAAACTGATTAAACTTTACTTTTGGCATTTACTGTACATTTTTGAATTGCTATGGTAGTTCACAAGAGTTTAGAGCCTAAAACACAAATAGATAAGATCAATTTGGGGCCAACAGAAAACAGATATAGTGTATAAAGATAAGAGGGGCTAACATTTGATAATTATGTATCAAATATAATTTTTCAGCAATGCTTTTCTCAATATAATGGATATTATCTGGATGCACACAGTATATAATGTATACTTTCTCAGTTTATTGGTTGAAACTAATGATATTAGGATTGCACTCTAATTAGGTACAGCAATGTAGGCATTTTCACTAATGGAATTTCCTTGATAAGTGATTTAGTAGAAAAGTCATAAATGTTTGTATTTGGATCTCAGTTGCAACCGTGGCAAAATACTTTAATTTCTCTGATGATCAAATCTCTCATCTTTAAAATGAGAATATAATTGCAATCCCATAGAGTGCTGAGGCTGAAATATAATCTTGTATATGAAACTCCTGGTGCTTAGTCTGGAACATTACCATGTTTTCCAAAAGTGGCAGCTATGATTTTTATGGTTGCCGTTGTTAAAGAACTCTATTGTCACACCCCCTATCAGTCTTCAGGTCCATAATGAGAGGGTCAGTGCAGGGACTTGTTATGATTTATATATGCCATCCCAAAAGATCATGTGTTATTTATTATGCATAACTGTTCAAAGGTGAAATCATTAAATTGTGAGAACTATAAACTAAACAATTGGATTATTCCATTTGTTGTATTGATAATTTTAATGGACTTTGGGTGGTAACTGTAGATAGGTGGGGCATAGCTGGAGGAAGTAGGTAATTGTAGGTGTGTCCTTGGTTATTGTGTTTTCTTCCTGACTCCTTGTGCTTGTTCTCTGTGTGTGTGTGTGTGTGTGTGTGTATTTTCTGGGTGCTGTGAGCTGATAGATTTCCTCTACCTTTCCTCCTGTGATATTACCCTTCCACTGTGATATTCTGTCTTACTTTGGGCCCAAAGCAATGGAGTTAGCTGACCATGGAATAAATCTCCAAAACTATGAGCCGAAAGTACACTTTCCCTCCTCTAAGTTGTTCTTGTCAGGTATTTTGATCAGTGACAAAAAGCTGACTAACACAAGGCTGACCTCCTTCAAACTGGAGCAACACCCTCCAACTCCCTTTCTTGCTTTCAAAAACAGAATTGAAAACAGTAATAAATATAGTTTTCCTTGGTATCAGCAGCAGATTGATTCCAGGACTCCCTGTGGATACCGAAATCTATGAATATACAAGCCCCTTAAATATAAAGTATTATTTTCTTATAACCTATACACATCCTCCCATATACTTTTAATCATCTCTAAATTACTTATGATACCTAAAATAACATAAAAGCTATGTACATAATCATTATACTGCATTGTTCAGAGAATAATCACAAGAAAAATATCTTACCTTTCATTTTTTTTTGGGGGGGGAGTTAAATGGTCAGTTATAATCCAACTACTGTGGATTGAAAATAACTGAAATATTGAATTCACAGATTGGAAACCCTTTTATATGTATAACCAATTGTAACTTAGAAAGTTGGGGGAAGAAAATGTATATAATCATTCAATGTGATTTTATTGTTAGTATAAACATCTGCTATGATGACAAGACACTTAAAAGCATGGTGTATGGAAACTCTAAGTCCATGTTTGATATGCCCAGACATCTGCAAATTCTCATTCCTTAAGTCTATTCCTGGATTCATTCCTGGATACACATTACATTGAGTTGGCATTTCTTCCCTGTCTCCTCTGGTCTATGACAGTTTCTCAGTCTTTTCTCCTTTTTTTTTTTTTTTTTTTTTTTTTGATTCCCCACCAATCACCTTGATGGTCTTAAGGAGTATTAAACAGGTATCTGGTAGAATATCCTCAAATATGGCTATGTCTGTTGTCTTACTCTTACTCATAATTAGAATGGGGTTATGGTTTCTTGGAAAGAAAACTGCAGAGGCAGAGTACCCTTCTTGGCCCATTCTATTAGGACTCACCTGATGC